CCTGGGATCATGACCTGAGCCAAAGGCAGACGCTTAATGACTGAGCCACCCAGGCGCCCCTTTAATTTTCCTTTTGGTCCAGCTTTACAAATACATGATGTCAAGTGTGTTATGAGTGTTTCTCTAGTAGATGACATTGATATTTATCCCTAAATTGTCAAGGGGATCAGCTTTGTGGTATTGAGACAGGTTTAGGTAACACATTTCAATGACTGGGACAGAGTTTAGTTTTAAAATGATTTGAGGGGCGCCTGGGTGGCTCAGTCCGTTGAGCATCTGCCTTCAGCTCAGGTCGTGATCCTGGTCAGATCCCTCTGCCTTCTCTTCCCCCACTTGTGCTCTCTCTTGCTCTCTCTCTGTCAAATGAATGAATAAAATCTTAAAAAAAAGAAAAATAACTTGAATTTACAAATCAAAACTAAAAATAGACTAGAAATTCAAGCTTATTCAAGCCAGTTTATAAAATCTTACAAGTTCAAAAGGTTAATAGGTGTTTCTTTATTAAAAAAAATCTAATTAGGAAAAGTATACAAATAACTAAAGTGCAAATGTTATAGTTTTATTTAAAATAATAAGTCTTTTGTTTGTATAATCTATGTCAGATAGAATTTTGACTAATCATAGCTCTTACTCTGCAGGATTATATAAGAAAACCGGTAAATTGGTATTTCTTGGATTGGATAATGCAGGAAAAACAACATTGCTACACATGCTAAAAGATGACAGGCTTGGACAACATGTCCCAACATTACATCCCAGTAAGTATATTCCCATATACAACATGTTACTTTATCAAGTGATACCAATTCATAGGTACTAACCAAAAATTTTTTTGTCTTTTGGTGTTTTTTTGTTTTTTTTTTAAGATTTTTATTTATTTATTTGACAGAGAGAGACACAGTGAGAGAGGGAACACAAGAAGAGGGAGTGGGAGAGGGAGAAGCAGGCCTCCTGTGGAGCAGGGAGCCGGTGTGGGGCTCGATCCCAGGACCCTGGGATCATGACCTGAGCCGAAGTCAGTCGCTTAACCGACTGAGCCACCCAGGCACCCCTTTTGGTGTTTTTTTGGTGGATAAATTATCATCAGGTGATATGACCTAGTCTTAAAATAGTATAATAAATCACAGCTAACCCACTCCACTCCCAAGAAGTATATTTAAATCTTAAAATAATACACATATCTTCTTTTCAGTTAGTACACCCTTCTCCAGCTAGAGGAATTAAAGTTACTGTCTCAGGGATTATAACATGATTGAGGTCTATCCAACCAAATACTGCTTAGACTATAAATAGTCACCATTACCTTATTTAGATAACTTAAATTTCTTTCAAGTTTTAAAACTGTACTTTTAATCATTATTCAGTGGACAGCTTATAGTCTTACACTTTGCTAGTGACTCTCAATTTATTAACCAGTTATTTTTCTACTCTGAGAAACCTCAACAGTATCTAATATAAAAACCATAGAATTATTCCAAGAAACAGGGCACGTATGGATACATTTACAGAAAGTTTTAGAACAATTTGAAAGATAATTTACTGTGGTTTCTTTAAGAAAGACTGCTAAAGACATTAACAGTGACTCTGTAAATCACTAATACATATCATCCAGCATATAAGGTTATGTCATGATACTATTTGAGAAAGTAAAATTAATGTTAAAGTGACAAAATTATTAGAACAGAAGCCTAACTTATAAATACCTGTGACCTTACTGTCACTTGAAAAGACTATGAATCAAAAAGACATAAAGTTTTATTTTGTTTTTCAATTTCATTTTTTTTAGACATAGAGTTTAAAAACAAGCTAATCCACAGATTAATTATGAAATAATGAGTGTGGACTTAATAATGAGTATAAAATGGAGCACTGGACCAGAAAGTAGATAATAATATGATAGTTATTTAATTCAGTAAATATTCAGAGAACAAGGAAGGAGAACAACAAAAACAAAGTACTGTTTTATCAGTAAAACTCTTAGTGAAGTTGGAAAAGGAAGATTTTATAAAATTGATAAATCTTTTTTTTTATATTACGACAAGAGTGGGGCTTGGCAAATAAGATTCTGATACAAGAACAATACCATTAAAAAATGATCATTGTGAAATTGAGTATATAAATTGTATGCAAAAACAGTTGAAAGAGACTACAGAGTGGTGTGGTATTATATTAGGTGTAAGTCAATTTAAAAAAAATTTTTTTTAAGATTTTATTTTTAAGTAATCTCTACATCCAACATGGGGCTCCATTGTATAACCCTGAGATCAAGAGTTGCATGCTCTACCAACTGAGCCATCCAGGCACCCACATTTTCATATATTTTTTTAAGATTTTATTTATTTGAGAGAGAGAATGAGAGAGAGAGAGCACATAAGAAGGGGAGGGTTAGAGGGAGAAGCAGACTCCCTGCTGAGCAGGGAGCCCGATGCGGGTTTCGATCCTGGGACTCCAGGATCATGACCTGAGCTGAAGGCAGTCACCCAACCAACTGAGCCACCCAGGTGCCCCACCCATTTTCATATTTTTGTTGTTGCTCTCTTTTATTTATTCATCACATATTTATTGAGCACCTACTTTATGTCACACCTTGTCCTAAGTACGAGGAGTAAAAGGCACAAAACAATTGCCATCTCAGCTCTCCTGCAGCTCGCGTTCATTTTGTCTTACATTTTTCATTAATTAAGAGCATATGTGGGGCACCCGGCTGGCTCAGTTAGTTAAGCGACTGCCTTCAGCTCAGGTCATGATCCTGGAGTCCCAGGATCAAGTCCTGCATCGGGCTCCCTGCTCAGCGGGGAGTCTGCTTCTCCCTCTGACCCGCCTCCCTCTCTCTCTCTCTCCCAAATAAAAAAAAATAATTTAAAAAAAGAGCATATGTGGAAAAGGTAATATATATCTACCCTATGATCTGACAATTCCATTGCTAAGTATTTATCAAGGAGAAATGAAGACATATGTTCACGAAAATCCTTGTACAAGAATGTTTATAACAGCCTTCTTTGTAATAGCCCCAAACTGGAAACAGCTCAGATACCCATCCAAAAAAAAGAAAAGAGGGGGCGCCTGGGTGGCTCAGTTGGTTAAGCGACTGCCTTCGGCTCAGGTCATGATCCCGGAGTCCCGGGATCGAGTCCCACATCGGGCTCCCTGCTCGGCGGGGAGTCTGCTTCTCCCTCTGACCCTCTTCCCTCTCGTGCTTTCTATCTCTCATTCTCTCTCTCTCTGAAATAAATAAATAAATAAATTAATTAATTAAAAAAAAAAAGAAAAGAAAAGAAAAGATAAACAATGAAATTCTTTTCAATAAGAAAGAGGAATAACTTACATACAAAATATATATTATGATGCTTGGAAGAAACTGGTCACAAAAAGTTTCATACTGTATGGTATCATTTATATGACATTCTAGAACAGGCACAACAAACCTGTAGTGATAGAATTCAGATTACTTCTGGGAGTGGACAGTGACTGGGAAGGGGCAAACTCCCTGGGATATTGACAGTTTTCTGTGTCTTAATCAAACTGGGACTTTTTATAGTGTACTAGGGATTGTAACCATAAAGGTAGTATCCCAACCACATCCAAGCATTATATTTTCCTTATGGAAAGGAACACACTTTGAACACAAATTGTATTGGTTCATTCAGTTGGGAGTCTATATAAATAATTTTTTAACAAGAAACTACTCTGGGGCCTCAGCAATTGTAATGAATAGTTAAAATTACACCGAACCTTTCATTATAATTGTAGGGGACTTCTGCTTTTGCTATGGGGCAGTAAGAGCATCTGGAATTATCCTCCCACTGTAAGCAGCTAGAAAACTGGACAACCATATATACTACAACTGTTTTCAGAACTGGACAATATTTAGCACAGGACTGTGATTCCTGAGAGAAGGAAAACAAACTTTTCTTTATTCAGGCTTTATCACAGAGATAATCTTCAGACCATGGTGCAGGGAGAAGAAACCCAAACATGACCCAGTAGTCTTGCTGAGTTGAGGAGAGAGAGACTAGAATATGGGGAAACTGAGGTGACGAGAATTTGCTTGGCACAGTACCAGAGAAGGAGCTCTGCAGACAAAGAACTGCAGAAATGTTCATGGCTAAATACCAATCTGTGTGCATAGGGTAAATCTCCCCATGGCCAAACAAAGAACAATTTCTGGAGAAAGAATAATTGTAGCAGAGCTGTTAACCAAATAATTCTCAGAGCTCACATGGGCCCAGGAATCATTCATGTTCTCCCACCAGCCAGAAGGGAGAGACCAGGCATTCAGTAGAGACTCCAGAAGGATCATACCTTATTTTTTTAAAAATTTTTTTAATATTTTATTTATTTGAGAGAGAGAATGAGATAGAGAGCATGAGAGGGGGGAGGGTCTGAGGGAGAAGCAGACTCCCTGCTCAGCAGGGAGCCCGATGCAGGACTCGATCCCGGGACTCCAGGATCATGACCTGAGCCGAAGGCAGTCGCCCAACCAACTGAGCCACTCAGGTGCCCAGGATCATACCTTGTTAATGGGGCTGAAGTACCTGTAAAGATTATGATAACCCAACAAAACTTAAAAACTGATCTACAGTGTGCCTGGGTGGCTCAGTCGTTAAGCATCTGCCTTCGGCTCAGGTCATGATCCCAGGGTCCTGGGATCGAGCCCCACATCGGGCTCCCTGCTCGGCGGGAAGCCTGCTTCTCCCTCTCCCACTCCCCTTGCTTGTGTTCCCTCTCTCACTGTGTCTCTCTCTGTCAAATAAATAAATGAAATCTTAAAAAAAAAAAACAAAAACTGATCTGCAAGCAGTTTAACTGCCTGCCAGAACAAAGTCCACCTTACTTCAAAAGAATACAATGAAATCCAGCATCCCGTGAAAAATGACTAGACATGCAAAGAAGCTGGAAAGTGTGACCCACAACCAGGAGAAAAATCAATCAGTAGTGACAGGCCCAGAAGTGACTAAGATGATGGAATTAGCAGATGAGGATCCCAAAAGAGCTGTAATGAATGTGCTCAAGGACTAAAGGAAAACATGAAAAGAATGAGGAAAGAAATGAAAGATACAAGACAGAACCAAGTGGAACTCCTAGAATTGAAAAATACAATAACTGAAATTTTCACTACATAGGATTAACAACAAAATAGTGCCAGTACTGCAGAAGCAAAGACCAGTGAACTTAAGTCAGCATACTAGAAACCATATAAAATGAAGCACAGAGAGAAAAATGAAAAGAAAATGAATAGATACTCAGTGACCTGTGGGATAATACGAAGCAGTCTAGCCAACCTATACTTGAAGACCTAGAAGAAGGGAGGGAGCAGAAAAAAATTTGAAGACATCCTGGCAAAAATATTTATTGCAACTGTGTTTATCATTAAAGACTGTCACTTGCTAATATGAGAGCCATGAGAGAAAATTATTTCCCTGGTGTCATCTAAGATGAATTATAGGAAAAATTACAAGGTTGGAGCAGTTACTTGAATTCACAGCAGATAATTATCTGAATAGTTAATATTTTCAGCAGGAGAAAGAAAGAAGGAAAAAAATGTTGGATTTGCGGAAGGTAGTGAATACTAGAATATTACCATTACTTGTGTTATGTTGTCAATATAAACTGAAGTATATCTAATTACAACAGATTCTTTTATTAGTTACTAAATGTCTGATTTGAACTTATTTGCAGTTAATCAAACATTAAATAGCAATATATACCATGAATGGATATCTGATTTTCTTGTTGTAAAAATATTTTATATTATTATTTAGCTTCAGAAGAACTAACCATTGCTGGCATGACCTTTACAACTTTTGATTTGGGTGGACATGTTCAAGGTAAGATTCTATTACTCTTATAGTTGCTTTATTTTAATAAAAATGTGGCCATTATTTCCCAGTGCATGAAATCTCGTTCTGTTCAAGGAAGGCCAGAGTAGACTTAAAATTTAAGAATTATTACCACCAGATAAGCTTTAAACCAAAGTGATTTTCATAATACTCCTGGTCAATTTAAGTCTGAATTGCTTTAGGTGTAAAGCATGAACCTAAATTTAGCCTCTATCCTCTGCTCCAATTCACATCTCACTGATGGTCATAATCATGTTATGATGTCACTCTCTGTATTAAAAACCTTCAACGGCTGACCTACAAAATGGAAGCCAAACTCATTGACCTGGCATTTGGGATCTCTGTAATCTGATCCCAGCTTATTTTTTGAGTCTTTATTTTCCTCTATTCCCTTTCCTATTCTCTGTACTCCAACTAAACAAAACCCTCTTGATGTTCTCCCCCTCTGTACTTTTGCTCATGCCATCCTCATCTGCACACAAGTAACCCACCTTCAGGGACCAGTCAGTGTAAGTATGGCTACCTCCCCTGAGAAGCCACTCTCACCTGGGAGTGCTATTAATTATACTTCCATGGGGCTTAGTGCGTTTGTGTAAGTGTCTACAAGTTTGGAAAAGACTGTGTTATCTCCTCTACTAAACTTTCTGGAATTAAAGTCTATTTCTTATGTCCCCCAAAAGACATGGCAGTGCCCAGCACATGGTAATTCATAAATAGTGAATATTACAAAGTTGGTGGGCATTCTGAAAGCTCCTAAGACAAATAGTTGAAAAGATTTTGATTGGTTGTGGCTAGTGAATGCACATTTGAGACATAATAATTATTTGAAATATATATGAAGTATTTTCCAGAATATAATGGTTAGAGAGAATTGGAACCTAATGGAGTTTGTCTGAGACTTAATTTCTGTGCTGTTTTTAAAATATATCATAAAACTGAAGTCAGAAAAAAGTTGCTTACCCCTAAGGCACCCCTAAAACTTTTTTAAAAATAATGTCATGGAAAAAAATTACCCTAAAGGTTTCATCAACTTTAGTTAATTTCTAACAGTTTGCTTTTATTATTTTTTTATTGCAATTGTGTTTATTTTTATTAACTTAACAAATCTGTACCCACAAATTTCCTTCTTTCACTGACTCCGAATTTATCAGTGGCAAAAAAACTGATAAAATGTCAAAAAATGAATACTGCATATAAATAAATAAAATTTAAAAATAGTGGCAGTCATCCAATGAACTTAATGTGCATCATTGTCCATTGGTAGCAAATAATAATTCCACTTCTGACTTGGGAGAATTGGGGCAGAGTAAAATATTTGACTTGCTCACATCAAGGAAAGCCTTCCTTGGTCCTCTGGAAAGATTTGGCAACCCTGGGTTAAAGATTAACTTGAGTATATAGTGAAGTGATAGCAGCTAAGGGATAATTATACTTGATATCTTGTTGGACTCTTCCATCAAACCATCTGCTAGGTCTGACCAGCCAATAAAATCTAACTCCTGATTGTTTTTGTTAGCTCGAAGAGTGTGGAAAAACTACCTTCCTGCTATCAATGGCATTGTATTTCTGGTGGATTGTGCAGACCATGAAAGGCTGTTAGAATCAAAAGAAGAACTTGATGTAAGTTAACTAAAACTAAACATAGCTGAATCACTCTGGTAAGCTTGAGGAAATAGGTTGGAGATCTAGGTATCAGAGTGTAGCTTTTCTGCAGTCTCTGATATAACTCCTGGCAATTTATGGAGCTCAGTGGTTACTCCACTTAGAATGCAGAGACAGTAGCTTGGAGTAATTGTAGCTATTGAGGACATACTAACACAGACTTTCTTCCTGAAGACCTAAGGTCACTCTGCAGCATGCCTTTCTAGTATATTTCATGTCTGCGGCATACCTGGAGTGGCTTGGTCTTGAGTCCCTGGTCATCCTAGATGCCATTTTCTTCAGGAGTTGGCCGGAACCTGGAAATGGTATAACATAGTATCTTAGTCACCACTTCCAGGAGTGAGTAGGGGCATTTGTAGCCACTTCTCCTCCCCCTCTTCCAGGTCAGATGCTTTGTAAAGTGGCTCAGGATCAGCTGGGAAGGCAGGGCTAGATCTGGGACCACAGAGAAAGCAGTGATTTGACCTTGACCATGCCTCTTCCCAGAGCAGGCAAATAACTGTTCATGTGGCAAAGTCCAGGTAGGTTCTGTGGTCATGGAACAGGGTCAGGGAATTCCTAACTACCTATTTTGTGCCAGGCACGTGTATATTAACTCATTTAATTCTCAAATCAACACCATAAGGTAGGTGCTACTATTCCAAATTCTCTTTGAACTTCATTGAGGCTTATTTGTCCAAGATCTCATAATTCATAAACAGTAGAACTAGAACTGAAACCAGGTCTGCTCACCTTCAAGGTATTTGTTTTAGAGTCCCTTAGTGATTCACAGAGTGAGCAGAGTTGAGCTATAGGGAAACAGAAGAATTGAGCTTACAGTTTCTTTGAGCTCACTTTGTTTTGTTTTTGTTTTTTTTTTAAGATTTTTTTTTTTTTTAACTCCTCTCTCCACCCAGCTTGGAGCTCAAACTTAACAACCCCCAGATCAAGGATTGCATGTTCTACTGACTGAGCCAGCCAGGCGCCCCAGAGCTTGCTTTAAAATGTACGAAAAGTTTGTCAAAGAAATTTGGCAATATTGACATGCTATGAGAGAGAATGAGTCCTTGATACTCATTGGTATCATAAGGAGCTCTTCAGATAGTTTATCAACATCTTGTCTTTCATTTTGTTTTGTTTCAGTCACTAATGACAGATGAAACCATTGCTAATGTGCCTATACTAATTCTTGGGAATAAGATTGACAGACCTGAAGCCATCAGTGAAGAGAGGTTACGAGAGATGTTTGGTTTATATGGTCAGACAACAGGAAAGGTAAATAAAACATTTTTTTTTTTTACTAGTGTGAATATTTCATTTGACAGTGTAAGGGTCTTTTAATTTAATACCTTATTTGTTTTTATCTTCTGAAATAGTTTATTCCAATACTAGCACTAACAGTAATCATGGTGATTAGTCCAATTGGCGGTCTGCCTTTTTTTTAATCGAGGTCTAACTGACATGTAACATTAGTTTCAAGTGTACAACCAAATGTCTTTTTAAATTACTATTGTCCAATTGCTTCAAATTACTATTGTCCAACTACTATGCCCATTATTACTATTTTTTTCTTAAAAACTGTTATTTGTACATTTGGGTCTTTTTAAATGTCTTCATGTGTTTTCTTTCTACCACTGCATGAAACCTTTTTTTAGGGATAACAAAAATGTCAAAGCTCATGCTTGTGGGAAACTGAATGAAAGCTTTCAAAGTTTATTCTTCTTAGTTTTTCAGAATAGCCACCAAATAATATACTTAAAGGTTTAAGCATTCCAGTAATGTATTTAGGCCCTAAGTTCCTCAGAGATAAAAATAAAATGTAAATTTGTACAGTGTTTGGGGATTTTCTGAACATAATACTTTTTTTAACGTTTTATATGAGATAAAGAGAGTGAGCATGAGGGGTAGGGGGAGCGAGAGGGAGAAGCAGACTCCCCACTGAGGAGGGAGCCTGAAGCAGGGCTGGATCCCAGGACCCTGAGATCATGACCTGAGCTTAAAGCAAATGCTTAACCGACTGAGCCACCCAGGCATCCCTGAACATAATACTTTATTTTTTTAAGATTTTATTTATTTATTTGAGAAAGAGAGAATGAGAGACAGAGAGCACGAGAGGGAAGAGGGTCAGAGGGAGAAGCAGACTCCCTGCTGAGCAGGGAGCCCAATGTGGGACTCGATCCTGGGACTCCAGGATCATGACCTAAGCCGAAGGCAGTTGCTTAACCAACTGAGCCCCCCAGGTGCCCTGAACATAATATTTTATAATAAGCTTCAAAATGCATTATTTTTGCAATCATTTTTACTAGTATTTGTTTGAGGGAGGGACCTTGGTATAGAAAAATATCAGAGTTTACAAACAAAATTTCCTTGGTGTGTGTGTGTGTATATATATACATACATACATACATACATTTTCAGAATAGAGAAATACCACATTCTTTGGAAGGAGGCTCTGATGTTAGGGTAGACTTTAGTCTGTTTTCTGTGTCTTTTCAGTAAGTCAACTCCCCATTTTTAGAAATGCCTTGTTTAGTCATAAACCTACTCAAAAAGGTTTGTCTTTAATATTAGTGAAGCTGGCTTGGGTAACTTAAATTTTTCCAAGTCAAAGATTATTTTCATTCTTTTGTGCCTCAGAAACTCCCCTCTTTCCCACTGAGAGAAGGAGGTTTCCTGTGTGTCTAAGGGACTTGTCCACCCAACAACCAAGGCTTAGCACAGTCACCCTTTGTTCTGAGATGCAGAAGCTGCAAGTCAACTGTAAAGTGGAGCTTTTATTTCATAAAGGGGTCATCCATCATAATATAATGTCTGTCTTCCCTTCTAGGGCAGTGTATCTCTGAAAGAACTGAATGCCCGACCCTTAGAAGTTTTCATGTGCAGTGTGCTCAAAAGGCAAGGCTACGGAGAAGGTTTCCGTTGGATGGCACAATACATTGATTAACAACCACCTGCATCGGTTCCAGGTCTCACCGTTCAGGCCTACTCAGAGATTTGATCTACTCAACATGCATAACTTGAATTCAATAGACTTTTGTTGGTTAGAAAACATGTTTTTTAGATTATTAATATTATATCAACTTAATTTGAGTGCAAATTGAAAACTGATTTAAGTAAGTTTGAGTATCACAATGTTAGCTTTCTAATTCCATAAAAATAGTTTATACAGTTTATAATCTGACATTATCCCCAGCGCCATTTATAAAGAACAACTTTCCAGCAGTACATTTGAAGCACTTTTTAACAACATGAAACTACAAATACAAACCATGTTTAAAAGCTCACCGTGTTAAATTTTTATGTACTATTTTGGAACTAGTTTTTAAATTTTAGATTATATGTCCACCTGTCTTAAGTGTACAGTTAATAATTAGCTTATTGATGATTGCATGATGCCTTACAGTTTTCAATAATATTTTTTCTTATGCAAACGTCATGCAATAAAACACACCCTGATGTTTGGCATTTTTGTTGGACAGATGTTTCATTTTAATGTGTCTTATCTAGCTAGTATGCTCTGACATTTTGAGTATTTAATAACATACGTATGAGGGGGTTGTGGGGAAAGGAGACCACTTCAGAATTTTTAGGATAATGTATAAGTCTCTAGAGGTTTTTGCATTTACCAGGAGACAAGTTGTGTTTAGTTCCACCTTACACCACATTTATCTCTGAATCACTTGTGTTTGTAACAGTAATGCTACCATTATTAGGTGCTGATGGGGTCCACCTCCTAGTTTCCGTGGGATCGGTCTTTTGAAGAAAAGCACATCTGGTACAACACAAGGGCTTGATAGGCCCTATAGCTCCATCCCAGTTGTCTGATTCTGAAGTGAACTTACTGGTGCCCAGTTCGGTTATTTGTGCCTTTTCACCAAAAGTAGTGACAGGCACCAGTCTCCCCACATTTAGAGGTACTCCCCACTCCCTTTTACATAATGGTACTGCCAGGGCAAGCAACAAGTAGCACCTTGTGTGTAGTTTCATTGTGGAGGCCTGTGTGTGTGAGAGAGGAAGCCTGTTCTGCCTTGTGAGCTGCACGGGGATTCTGGTCCTGTCCTATAGCTTTTTTGCATTGTTTGGCATATTTTATTTCTCAGTAGAAATAAATGAATGCTTGTGTTTGATTTTCCTTTTTCTTAATTGCTCTCAGCTCTTACTTTTATAGCACAAAGGCTTTTGTTTTTAGAAGTAATGCCTTCCAAGTGATAGTGTCTGCAAGCCTCACTGATAGACTAACATTTTAGGTAGGTTTTAAAGCACTTTAATTTTCTAAGAAATTGAGTTTGTTTTTTTTTTTCCATGAGGTTCTGAAATTCCCGTAATTACTGAAATAAGCTGAAAGATAAGTGCCAAATATGTATTTTTAAAGACTCAAACTTAAGAGAGTTCTCTCTTGGTTATAAATGAGGATTTTATAGTATTTCACCAATTCCATTGAGAGTAGATTGCTCCAATTCCCTCAAGAATAATTTTAATATCAGAATTAGTGTTTTCTTTAGCTTTTTTCTAAATCAGTTACTCTAGTTCTGTCATTAATACTGGAACATCTGAGACAGATAAGGATCTTAGGGATATGACTGAAAGGAAATACCAGTTAGCTAAACCAACAAGGTCATTGCAACATGACCTCCGGTTTTAGTAATAACAGCTTTTCTGTTTCACTTTAACCTTCCTTTCAAAAAAAGAGCTTCTTCTCTGCTTAGGATCATCAATAGCATCATGGGAAAAGGAGGGAATGACATACCAACCTGTTGGTTTATCCTGCCACGTGTAATTCAAGTACTCACTATTCTAGGGGCACCTGACTGGCTCATTTTGTGGAACATGTGACTCTTGATCTTGGGGTTGTGAGTTCAAGCCCCACACTGGGTGTAGAGATTACTTAAATAAATAAAACTAAAACAAGTACTTCCAATATCCTGACAACAGAACTGCGCCTTATTAAAAGTAACTGCCTCTCATTGATACCTGTCTTGAATACCTACAGGGACATGCATTTTCTTTCAAGTATTTCCTTATATTGTGATATTGAGAAGTTAATTATTTGTATCATAAATTGGTGTAAAGGAAAAACCTTACTAGTTTCTCTAAAGGGGAGAAATGCTTTCTGGTACAAAATAAATCATTCCAAAATTCTCATTTTAGTTCTGACACTGGATCAAAGAAACAAAGTCAGTTGTGGAGCACAACTAAACTGTGGCTATTTTCCCAATGATATAGGATTCTTACGGCCTGAACATTCAGAAATGAAGCTGCTAATAGCAGCAACTGGCTTTCCCCCCAGCTCCGGGGAGATGGACCCTAGTCATCGGGTTTCCCACCTCACTCTTCCAGCTCCTCGGAACACATCCACTGAGTCACTGCTCCCCTTCAAGAGAAGCATATTAAGAGAATGGCAAGAGACAGAAGCACGTGGGGAAAACGTGCTCTCTATGCGCTTGTGCAAGTGTGTGCGCCTGTGCAGTATTTTGGGGGTAAATGGTAGCACTGGGGACATAGATTAATTATGTACCTTTTACCATAAGTTGTGAAAATGTATACAAGTTAAAACTGGATTCCATATAAATCAGGCACTGCTCAAAAGATGTGTTAAAATCTTTAGTCTAAAGCTCTAAAAGACAAGGTCTCAGCCTACATTTCTCATTTTAATGAAACCCTTAACCCCACACCTCTTTTCAAGGACTGCTGTTAATTATATTTCCAGGTAACTTTTTAGATTGATTCCAGTTTGTCTTTATCAGTGAATTTTTTAGAATGGAGATCATAGCATTTTTTTAAAATTGGGGCAAGACATTTCCTAAAATATATGAAAATAATTCTTCACTATTGGCTTGGTTGACCCAGTATCTCTGAATGCCAAAGATGTATGAAATCCAGATGTTGCCTGCATAGATGTAATGTTTAGTTTTGTGTGCCTGTGTTTATATATACATTTACTGTGGTTTACAGTGTTTCTTTTCCTTAGTTTTGAACCAACTCACACTTCTTCCTAGTGCTTTCCAGCACATAAACTACTTGTAAAATCATTAAAATAGGGTAATAGCTGTGATAATCTGCTTCTAGCCTTCTGCAAAATGACTTGATCAGCCACATTCAAAACACAGCATTTTCACAAGTTCTAGTTGACATGATTTGAGAGTTGCAGGAGAAAGGTTTACATGTTCTGAAACTGCACTGGTTGTGACTCAGTGTGGCATTTGTCTTGATAGTCATGTGATTCAAGTTTGCAAGGATTTATTGCCAAACTTTGACCAGAGTACAATGAGAATAGCTAATATGAAGGGAATGCTCTCAAAATATCTTGTGTTCATTTTACTTAGAGTATATTGTTTGGATCATTTTAAACCTATGTAAAAGTTGGTGAAGCTTCAAAAAATCTCCAAGAAACCATGAAAAAAAAATTAGCAAATAAAAATTCCTTAATGCAAAATTAATGGTGAATTGAGGTTTTCTGTAAACCTTTCATATTTTTTTGCTGTAAATCTAAGAGTTCAGAACAGTGTATCTTCAATTAAGGTCTAAATTCTCAAAGCTACATGGTGATGCTTCTGATGGCTTCCATCACTGTTCTTTGGAAATGCAAATTAGTGCTTTTTAATC